AAGAGAGAGATGAAGAAGCTTAAAGTTCAACGCTATGAACAATCGACGCAATTTACAATACGCAGTTATCGCAAGCAGAAGCACAGAAATGCTACAGGCGTTCCTCGGAGAACAGTGAATTCCATCGACATAAACAATAGGTACAGTGCAATTCTACTTTCCTACCTGAATGGAAAGTTGTTCGCTCTGCTAAGCGTAAACGACGTGACAGCGGTGGTATAGTAACCCCACAGCAAGCGTCAAATACGAGTGAAATAAAAACAAGCAAGGTTTGAAGCATGCAAAGCTTATAAACAACTCCGACAACACGGAAAAGACGCCACAAGCAAACGATATGAATGAAGATACAGCTCCAAAAAATCCGCCTATATTTATTCCTAATGTTGTAAAGGTGCCCTCGTTCACAGAGTCACTACGTGAAGCCATCGGGCAAAATAAATTTACATATAAAATGTCAACAATGAAAAGTAAAAGTCACCCAGAGACATAGAAAGCTACAGGAGTTATAAAATTCCTAATGAAAAAAAAGCATGTACACAACGTACCAACTAAAAAAGAAAGAGCATTTCGAGTTGTCCTTAGGCACGTACACCATGTTGAAGCAGAGTATTCAAAGTGAACTTGAGGAACTTGTCAAAAGTCAGGAACATTCATAACATTCGCCATAGATTGACAAAAGACCAACATGCCTTTTCTACGTCGACGTAGAAACGGGGAATACACGCAGATATTACAAAATTACTACATTAATGCATGCCAAAGTCAAGTTCGAAGCCCGTATAAAAAGAAGAAATAGTGAATGCTATGAGCCAACAGTACCAACATATCGTGCGTACTGCAACCGAAAGTCCTATGATGTGTGGAAATGCGGAGAAGCACACTTTACCGAAAATGTGTAAAAAAGATAAACAAACAAACACAACATTGTGCACTTTGCGGCAAGGACACCAGCAAAACTAAGGGCTGCATGAGTATACAAAGAACTTATCAAAAAGAACATACTCAAACAAGTGATCGACAAAAAAAACTTCAGGAAAAAAACACTACGCAAGACAGTACAAACCAGCTTCTATGGAAGAGTTCCTCCAGGGTTAAACTCTTATCAGAATGCCCGATCGGATCCCTTGCATAATACTCAAGCCAGAAATAAAAATGTTCGGTCGTATACCAATGCTTTAACCAATCAATAGTAGATAGCGGAAATGTATTACTTGAATCATTTTTCAAGATTTTGAAAAAATACTAAACAGAGAGCAGAAACAGATAAAGTTCAGTGGCATAATCTTGTAGATTCTTATTTCAAAATTAAAACTGAATTTGTTATAAACCATCGTGGTATTTATAAATAGAACATGGAATGCAATGCTCCTACAGCACAAACAGATTAATTTTATTCCTTCAGAATTAATAAAATTGACCATTTATGTTAATTAGCCGAAACCATTTCACCAAGAAATTCGTATTTCTCAATCCCTGGCTATGGACTACCAACACACAAACACCAGATGGTACTGCTCATGGGGAACTGCATTATTATACGGAACAAAAATCAAACATCATGACACTAAAAGCACATACAACTTTGAATACCTGCAGGGCAACCTCTGCTCCACTTTCAAGCATCTATGCGGCCCAAATCAACGTAACTGCAGTGTAACTGTCCACCTAAAGATAACATTAGAGGCAATGTTCGAAACATTCCTTCAACAATAATGGAAAAGATTCATAGTGGTGGCGACTACAATTGCAAAACATGTGCACTGGGGTCAAGACTAAATAAACACAAAGGTAGAGCCTTACAATTGTGTTCTTAGAAATAATCTTACAAAGTGGTCACTATGAGAACCTACATAATTGGCCTATGACAGAAACAAATCCGGACCTTCTAGACTTACATTATTTAAAGTATTTTCAGGTTGATAAATTTCGTATAGAACCAAATCATGATTATGTTCGTCGATCATTGCCCTGTTAATACTGACCCATCAGTCGAATAAGGTGTCACAAAATCTCCACCCGCAACTTACCAACACAACTCACAGACTGGGACAAATTTTGTGAAATTATAGATAAGTTAGATTATAGCTATGGCACTGCATAACCCGGAAGATATGAAGAGCACAGAAATCTGACTAACTCATTAACATGGCTGGGACAAGCTCAAATTGTTCAAAGTAAGAATCAACAATTCCCATAAACATAAGAGGAAAAATCAGAGCGAAAGGCGGCTAGAGTATTTTGGATGAAACAGGCACTCTGAAGACAGAGAACTTCAATAGAGCTCCAGACAGTGAGGGAATTATTGAAACAACTCAGAAATGAATCATTTTGCACAATATGGTAAGTCATAACAGCAACTGCAACACAAACTATTCGTTGGAGGGCTAGTAAGAAAAATAAACGCCACAATTCAATACACTATAAGGTAAGAAAGATGGAACATGGGCAAAAGTCAATGAGAAAGTGAACGATTTGCTGACCTTCTCTTCCGTATTTGAAACATATAACTCCATGGACCAATGCATTGAGGAAGAAGTACTTCGATTTAATATGTCCTGGTCAATTATCGGTTCAACGGCAATTTTTTCTTCTAATGAAGTAAGAGAACTATTCAGCGGTTTTTATAAATCTAACAAAGCCAGTTAGACTAATCACCACGGCAAAGTCTGCAGGAATTATAACTGAACGCTATTGAATTTATCAACTGCTCTTCAATGCGATTCTCGACTCAACCATTTTCCGGACAATGGAAGATGAAGATCAATACGATACTATCAGGAAAACCACCTAACGAATGTAATTTATTTATGCCAATAAGCTTGCTTCAATCTTATGAAAAGGTATTCGAAAATCTTACTTCCAACGTTTAAAACTCTTGCTGAAGAAATAATCCAGAAACCAGTTCGATTTAGAGAACAACACTCAACAATCGAACAAGCGCACGAGTTGTTGAAGTTATTACTCAAAGTCTGAAGGAAAAGCTACTGGCAGCTGTATTTCTTGATATACAACAGCTTTCGAAAGGTATGGCACGAAGGACTTCTGTATAAATAAATTAAACTTGCCCGGCGTTTAACCTATGATGAGTCATATCTATCTACCGAATTCAAATTAAATATCAGAAGAATTATATCTTCCACCCATTAAATCAAGGAGTGTTCAAGGCAGTGTGCTGGGTCTGTTTTATACCTTAACATACACTATGAATTTGCAACAATGAAAGGACTACCACTGCAACGGTTGCGGAGACAACAGCAATTTTGGCTGTGCATGAAGACCCATTCCAAGCATCACAAAATCTCCAAGAGCATCTGAACCACTTGACAATGGGTACAAGATGGCGTATTCAAGTAAATGCTCCAATTAAAATTCATATTTACTATCCAAAAAGGGAGTGTCTAAGTACGCTAAACATGATACTGCCAACTATTTTGCATTAATATCTGGATTTCATATGGACAAGCGGTTAACATGGAGGGAACCATATAACTGCAAGAAGAAAAGAAGCAACAAATCAGACTTTCCCATTTCATGGCTCATCAACCGCCACTAACCATTTCTTTTAGACAAAAAGTATTCCTCTACAAATATAATCAGGCTATCTGAGCTATCGGAAATCAACTCTGGGGATCCGTAGCAGTAACATTGAATACCAGAAGGATCGAATCAAAATTGCATTAGAAGACTAGCCATGCACGTGGTACGTTTAAAGAATGACACTAACGTGAGCTGTCAGGATACCGCATAATATATGAAGAAATCACTCAGCATAGCAACCTACAAGAGCGGTTAAACAAACATCCAAATCCATATAGCCATCATCTACTTGGAATAATAGCGAGGAAGTACAACCGACTGAAAGATTCCATATTCTGGAATTACCATTCCCGTTCAAACAACCACATGACGATGTACTCTGCTTCATTTAATGCATAATTAAGCACATTTACTGAATGTTTTGTTAAGAAACAGATTTTGTAAATAAACGAATAAAAAAAATACGCAGTTTCTGTTCAGGGGCGTTTAAGAATAGAATGACAATTTGCACGCAAACAACATTTTCTATAGTCAGGTTAGTCAGTCAGTCAGTCATATAGTAAGGCAAACAAAGTTGGTGAAGAATCTATATAGATAAAAAGAAAAAAAAACAATACAACCAATAAAAGCGCTGTGGAAAAACTACGTGTTCTACGAAGGGAGGGTTTATCAAACCCGCCCTAGAAAAACGCGGATAAAAAAATGAAAAAATGATAAAAAACGCTGATAAAAACATATCTTGTCGTTGTTGTGACGAGCTTTGAGTGATGAGTAAAACTGTCTCAACAATTTTGGTAATTCTCAACAATGAAGAGCACGTGAATCAAGTGAACGGAAAACAATATCAAGCAATATAAGCAAGGTGGTGGGCTCCTCGTATTTCAAGGGTCGTGATTCCTCTGGTTGCATTGAAAACGAACATTTTAAACACATTTATCTCGTAACTTCCCATTTTACTTTCTCCACTACTTGCGTAGTAAAGAGAAAGTCGTAAATCTGCAGCAAAAGTGTCGATTTTTTACAGAAAATCTCGTATTACCAATACTGAAAAAGCTAATTTTTGCTTCTATGTATAGTAATATGTTGTTGTAGAATCAAAAACTATGTCCTTATTCTTGTAACTGAAAAACTGGTTTACGCTAAAACGTCTGTTTGTCCGTCTGCCTGTGGCCAACAGCGGCGCCTAAACCGTTGAGACGATTTTCTCCAAAATTGAGATTCCTCGATCGATTTGGTCGAAGTCGAGGCCGTGCGAATTTGAAAATGATGCTTTGGGAGTACTTGCCTGAACAAAATTTTAAAAAATGGATGCAAATTTTTTATTAAAATTTGTTTTTGCATAGGGTAAAGAACTCTTAAAAATCGACGCGAGTTTCATTTTCGTTAAAATCCCTGATTTTTCGAAAATTGCAAAATTTCAAAATATTTTCTTTATATTGGATGGAATGTTGACTGTCGTATCATACAGCGACCAGCGATCTTGGTTCATGGAAAATAACAATTATGTTGTCAGCACATGCATGCGTTAGAATATCTTTGCAAACACTAAATACATCATGCATGATGTTATACGGATCGTATATAACCAGTTTTGGCGTTATATTTATGTGCTTTTACTAAATCTGCGCGTGAATCCTGTCAGCTGGTGTCTATACACGTTTTACGCGTGTGCCAACATTCATAGCATTCAAAGAGAATACATTACGTGGCCGGCGAAAATTGTCAATTGCACTGATATTTGAATGACGAATAACTGCTCTTGACATTGCGAAAAATACTCTCTGCTCCCGAAACTATACAGCGACCAACTTTGCTTACGTTTCAACAAAGCAAGCAAAATTTGTGTCCTGTGAATTCTTTGAATTCTTTGAAATTGTGGAGTCTACCGCGTGCTTGCCAAGTGTAGCACTCTGGCATCGACGCTCGGAAGTACTGCAGTTTAAATGTAGAATATGATTTTGCATTTTTCTCTTTACTTATCGGTGTCACGTTTTTTTAGAAAAATCAAACAGTCCCAAGGCGCCATACTTGCATGAGCTTAGACTGGGTTTGTGTCAAGAAGAGATTATAACTGTTCGTTAGATGTTACGCGGCAAATTTTAATAAAATGCGAAAGCAATGTAGTAACAAGGGCTTTAAACGAAAATGAGACCAACACCATTCTCATAAGCGTCCTTTACGCTATCCGAGGACAAAGTTTAATCCACAAATTTTGAGCCATTTTGGAAATGTTGAGGTTTCATGTACAATACCTACACAAATCAAAATATTCGTTTCAAACAAAGAGAGCCTCAAGTTCCTTTAAATCTATTGAAGAATATCAATTTTGGAGAAAATTGGCTGAACGAATTGGCGGTAGCTTTGACCACAGACACCCACAAAGGCGCAGAGATACAAGATTTGTCGTCAATCGATTTTTCGGTATTAAAGACCCACAAAACACGGATTCTGATTACACAACGTGTTAGAGGAAGTAATATACAATTTACAGGAACAAGAATTACCAACTTTTTAGTTACCAGGGCTCGGTAATATGTGTTTTTCTGTCGAAAATTCCTGCTTACGATTACAATGCTTTATCTTCTTGCGAAGAAAGGATGAGAGAGTAAGAACGCATAATTGTTATTGCCAATGGGCAGCCTGAGATTTCGTGTAAATGTCAAATACCAGTAAAGGATGAGTTGACTACCAAGTTGCTACCAGTTGTTTCTATACAGAGACCATAGTGTCTATCAAAAATGAATATAAAATTGAATAATATAAATGCATTATATACCTTTTGTACTATATAATCCTAAAATACTCAATCTTCCTGGATCAATTATCCCATCCCGTTAAGGATTTTTGTCCAGTTTTCTTTGATCTATTGAGCAAATACTGAAAAGGCTCCTTGTTTCCATTCCTCATTTATGGAAATTCATTATGCGTGCGTTTGATGAGCTCTCTTTTTTATATTCGCGGGAGGAGTTGGACGGAGGAAGTTGCTTTTTTGTCAGCAATACGAAAAAATCAAATCTATAGTTTCTTTGCCGAAGCAAAGCCTTTTTCTACTACCCGTGAGCAAAAATACCTAGTTTTCAAATGTTGCTAACCACGTATCATTATCTACATTTCATCTATTTAGAGTAAAAGATACAAAATAAAAACTTACAGTACACACTATAAAATACTAAATAAAGTCCGATAAAGTTGAAAAACCTATAGACAGAAAAGTAAATAATAATTTTAAATACTATAAATTATGTTCAACCATTCGGCAGGGTTTTTGATTGATACAAAATGTTCCAAATGAAGTGTTTCAGTGGGTTACCAAGTGTGAACAGTATTTTTAACGGAGTCAAAATCAATCAAAAACCCACTTTCTTGCTTGCAAGGGCAGCACGGCATTATATTTAAAAAAAAATCAATTCAATGATTCTGGCACATAAATGTAATATTAATGTTACTTTCTAAATATCGAAGTTTCTGTATATCAAATATTATCGAACAAACAGTCAGATTCGATGTATGGAGGTCCAAATGTATATAACAGTAATAATAACGATACAACAGTAATTATAACGCAGTTAATAATGTAGTAACAATAATAACAATAAGAAAGTAATAACAATGTAGACTAGTTCTTTATTTCATTACTTACGTTCTCCATTTGATTCCATTCGGCTGGCTGTGTTCACTGTGTCCCCAAACAGACAATAGCGAGGCATCTTGTGACCAACAACTCCCGCTACGCACGGTCCTGAAATGAGTGTTAAATTTGTGTTAGAAAAGACAATTTGGCCTGCGAAATTTGAGAAGCTCTGTGAAGTGCGAGAAAAGAGAAATAATCATTGATAAAAATGGAAATGGAGAAACGATAGAACCACGAGAAAACATCCAGTGAATCTGTTTCGAGCTTCGCAAATTCCACGCGGACAGATTGGGATTTGAAACCGATACTTGGAGCTAGAAAGCACAATTAGCTTGTCCGTTAAGGATCATTTTGAAAAATAGGATGAAGTAAGCGTTTTAAGAGGGGGTAAAAAATGAATGCCAGGAAGAATTTATGAATACATTTTGTCACCCGCGGGCTTGGCTTCTGCCCGTTGCGTTTGCTGAGAAGAATTACCCATCTCACCTGCATACAGAGTGTCCATGAATAATTGTTACAAATTTCTAGGGCATGTGCAAGATCACCTTTATTCAAAGATCGCGTTATGGGAAGTTTCAAATAACGAAGTTACGTATGTAATTTTACCCGCTGATTTGCAGGCAACCGATCATGTATTGATGTTTGGCAGGTATGCAAAATCTCTGGCTGCGTCAAATCATTATGTGCAAAACACCAATGCATGATGAGTAGCCTACCATTCTGGAGCAATATGACTTGTGTACCTTCATTTTATGGAACTTCTCACTACACGTTCATTAAGCAAAAAGTGATCATGACGTGTTCTAGGAAATATTTTTCTTAACCAAAAACAACAAAAACAGTAAGTCTACGTGCAAATATCTATTAATCCTTATTTAAGTAAATTATTGTGTTTACTATTGTTTATGAGTTCAAATAATTTTATTGTATCGCAATAGATCAGAAGATGGGGCGCAAAACCTCCCGAAACGTCATTGAAGGCTGAAGAGAATGTGTTTGATTGAAGTTAACTTAATACGTAATATATAAATTAAACATTTCTACTTTCTAAAAATGTTAAATGGACACGTCATTTCAAGAAAATAGAATATAAGAATATTCAATTCTATTTAACGTGTTGTGGACGTTTGTAACATTTATTCTTTGGAACGTGCATTGGAGCAACGCGAACGCCTCTTACCAGTGTGCATGCCGATGCGCAGCTTGAGCTGCTCCTTGGGGCGATGGCGGATCGTGAAGCCCCGCACCGCCTGCAGCAAGGCGAGGGCCATGCGAGAGATCTCCTGGGCGTGCAAGTCTCCGTTGCGCACGGGCAGGCCCGACACCACCATGTACGCGTCGCCAATTGTCTCAACCTATGCAGGCGCGCAACAAATCACTGAGCACTGAGATCTCAATGGCACAGATCCACCCACACGGCGCTTAAGTTCGGCACAATGAATGTAACCAATATACTGCATTTTGTACACATGCTTGCGATTCAGGGCTATGTACGAGTCTGAGTGGGAGCTGGATCTGTAGATTAGTAGAAAACAGAGAGAACATGAAAAATGAGAGAACATGAAATTTCTTAACTGTTTGATTCCGAAGACCAAACGCATTTAATCGTGTTTTGGTAGATTTTATTGTAACGGTTACATTTTTTATTTTGTTAAGGTATGTGATGAAGTTTCTAGGAGTAAAATGTCTTGAAATTCCGAAAGCGCCCCGCAACTCTATCTCTCGCCATTTGCGAATGGTTGAGGATTTTGTATTTTTTCCCCCAAAAGTGCACGGGAAAAGGGAAATTCTATAAACACGGATTCTATATCCCTGATTCAGTTGTACTATAAAAGATGATTAGTTTAACTTTTTTCCTAATGTAATATCATAATAAACTCAAATGTTTGAATAGTTATACATAAGGCTGTGATTGCATTGCATATATATATATATATATATATATATATATATATATATATACATATATATATATATATATATGTGCAATACAAACAACACAATATGCGCATATATATGTAAATATATTTGGTAATATATGCGATTAAAAGAATGCGAAATAGTGTAATGTAATGTGTAAGAAATCATATAAATTGTTACAAGCGACACACATTACATTTTGAAGAACACTCATTTCTTAGGAAAATAATGAGATGCAGTCACAAAATAAAAAAAAAATATAGGTATTGCAACAAAAATATGACTCAATTCACCACCAATAAAAAGGCCTGACTCTTGTAACATCATTCCACCTTTTGCGCTGTGTGCGGGCATCATAGGCGCTCGGCGGATGCACATTTCATTTCGACTGATACTGCCGATGACAGGTCTTGGCATGCTTCTCAAGCGATTCCGTACGAGTCAGGCGAGCGGCAACGCTGTTCCTTGGCTATGGTAATGTAAACAAATCCACGGGAGCCCATTGCTTCAGAGCAGGTCACATAATGCACCATAGCAAGTGGTGAGAGAACCGTCAAATCCGCTTACACGCTGACGTTACTGTAATTTTTGGGCTTTTTTGCAGATGAGGTGTGAATATGCAACACAAATATGCAAAAATATGCCATTATGTGTTGTATATACGAAAATATGCGAAATCAAATTCTAAATGCCTAAAAACGTATACAATTTGTTGAAGCGGGATGTTTTAGTTAACAGAAAATGCAAATGCATATAAATCACAGCCCTAGTTATACATATGTTATGCATATATTTGGTAATAGCTGCAATCAAAAAAGAAAAATATGCGAAATAGTGTACTGTAATGTGTAAGTGTAAAAATAAATAAGAAGTGTAATGTGGAAAATACGGCTGCAACATTACATTACTTTATCTTTAGTATGTAAGTACGCAGTAGGTGAGAAAGTGAAATTATCATTTGTACTTAAAAATAATATGTAAATATTTTACACTGTTACTTCACTTAAATAACTGTCGCATACATATATTTTGAGTTTACTTCAAGTATAACGGGCATAAACGGACGAATTCAGTGATATACCTATTGCCATATTTGATAATTTTGAGCGTTATATCACTTATGACGAAGAGAAATTTTGAATATCATTCTCGTGGAACATCATTTTCATGCAGTGTGAGCAAGGTTGACTAGTTCGCCTGCGGAGACTCGCAAATACATTACCCTTGGAATGTTCCTTCTTTTCAATGACTGCGATCCACGTACATCTCAAGTACCGATACGCATCTTTAGGCACTTAAGAATCTGCTCGAACTTCCTTAGCCAGGGAATAGGAACGAAAAGGGGAATGGTACTGACTCTCAACATTTTCGCTGCTTATGAGTCGCAAAAACTCAAAATTACTGAAATTCTTAACTAACATATGTCATTGGTGCACATGACGAGTGACACATCTAAAACAAATATACGTTTTGCAGGAGAACGGCTTTATTTTGATGGCCATCGTTTATTTTGTGATCATAGGCAATGTGTTTTACTCTTTGTATACGAACTTTGTTCACCAGATCGTCTCTCTGGTGAACTATCTTCATGAAAATATTACTAGTAAAGTAGACTTTTCTCAACCTATTTCTGTACTTAGTTAAGAAAGCAAGAAAAATAGTTACTGGCAAGTTATTTAAGTGGAGTAACAATGTAAAATACTTACACATTATTTTTAAGTACAAATGATAATTTTACTTTCTCGCCTACTACATACTTACCTACCAAAGATTAAGTAATGTATTTGTGCAGCGGAAAGTGGCGATTTTTCGACAGAGAAAAACCTGATATTGTGGCTTCTGGTCATTAGCGACCAGTTCCAAGGGGCCACAACATCCAGGCCCTACCAACATTCCATAACATTTGATTCATCTTCACACTACACTCTGAGTGACAACTATAGTCTATTATTGGAATTATTTATTCGTAAAGAAGGGCACACACACACACACACACACACACACACAATGCCTCTGCACAACTTATTCCGCCCTAAAACACTTCCTGAGAAGTTGTGCGTTATCCCCGCTAACGACGGACGTAATTACTTGTTCTCACAGGTATCCAGCTAGGGTCCAGGTCTCTGCAGGCCCCAAAGTGGTAACTTCGTAGTTCGTACCGTTCGAAGGTCACGTTATCCGAGGAGCCACTTTTGGCTATTTGCAGCAGTCTTGGGGGCCGGGCCAGCACCAATGAAAGCGCAGTTGACTTGTGCGATTTGCAAACAACACATCACTATTCTTCCCACTGTATGACTAACGAAGTATACATCTTAAGCCGTATTCTATTTTCTACACTTATTTTTGAGAAATATTGATATATTATTTTTTGGATATATTATTTCTCAGTGCTGTTCATTTTCCTCCTATATGAATTTGATTTTCAGGACCTCTTTTTTATAGTTCTCAAATACACTCATGACACCAATAGGAATTTTCTAAAATGTGTTAATAAATTATCAGTTCCCTAGTAAAACGAATGACCAATGAAATTCTTTGTCTCTTGTACACATTTGTGTGCATTTTAAAATGTATAATACATATTACTGCTTATCATTTTTAGCTTTAAGGATGTCTTAAAATTTGTGGTCGCATTGTAGGAATCATTTATTATTGCCTGTTTCGCAGGCTTACAAGTTTCAGACGATGCTTTAACTTTTGCACCTAATTCTTCAATAACAGTAAAATATGTTTAATCTACAATAGTACATTTTGATGATTTATCAATTTACACACTCATATCGTAAGATTAGCTCTTTACACGGGGCAAGTACAAGCGTACCAGTGCTCACAACCATCTTCCAGACTGCTGGTTATGCATAACGTGACAATATATTATAGAGCATGTGAAGTGGTATCCCAAATCCGATAATTGCTACTTCTAAGTGTCTTCGGAAATACATTTTCTTCTATTAACCAAAATTTTGAGTCATAAAAAAGTTCTTTAATACTACAACAGTGATGAAAAATTGCCCCGAAAAATAAAAAAAAAATCGTGTTTTCGACGTTTGTGTTTTCTAGGTTTGTCTGTAGATTTAAATTCAAATTTTCAACTTCGGATCAACAAAAAGTATTTTTTTGTATTTTGAAAATTCAAAACATCAGAAAGCATTTTTGGTACAAATACAAAATACATATTCAAATGTATGTTTTCGATACAAAATACAAATTACAAAAGTATCGAAAATACGTATTTTAAATACAAGCATTGTCGAAACTGCCCAACTCTGAGAGCATGCTAGCGTGAAAGCAAGTAAGGGACGATGATAGAACAAACAAGAGGAAGGAGTGATCGCGCGCAGCCCATGGGCCGTTTGTTAGGTACTGCTCCAGCATTCGTCTGGTGTTGATTGGAGAAACCACGGAAAACTACCGGATAGAGTAGCCGGCCACTAGAATTCTCCTCCAACTGAATTTGCTGAACAGCAACTGAATTCGACCTAGCTGACAAGCTAGTGTCGAAAATACTGTCACCGTCGGGACTAGAACCTAGGACCTCCTTATCAGACGGATTGCAGTGACATCAATTGATGCATTGAGTCATCTCTTCCGGTGTGATCATTGTAGAAAATATGCTATTTAACTAAAAATACTGGAGAATATTAATTTTCCATTGCATGTTGATGTATTTATTTAAAAAGAATTTATTCTATACATTTCACCATCTGGCCACAGTCTACAGTTTAACAATTACGAAGGGATTACATTTATGGATGTAATTGTTATACATTATGTTTCGTCTATTCAGAGATTGTTATGCTATTATTTAGTAGTTGTTGGAGCGATTGATACCTTTGATATTTATGAAGGCCAGATTAGGTATCTTATAAGTTAGCAATGAATTTAAGTTGTAATAAAATTATTAAAAGAGTGTTCATAATAATTGATGTAACATAGTTTGCGTACGCTAACATAAAGTTATGCTGTAACACGTTCAATCATTCATAAAATTTAGCATTTCATGGGGTAAATTCACTGCATTTCTGATGTCATGGCTGACGTAGTCAAGGGTCATTGTTAGTAACTGTACTTTTTAAAAACAAATTTGCAATCCAGATTTATTACCTTTTACTTATTTTGTTTGTAACTCTTTTCGCTTTTAATCCGATGCATAACGTGACGTAGCTGTATGAAAAGTAACTAATATCTCTCTAGACAACTGTGGGTTAATAAATCTGAGATGCACTAGAATTTAATAACGGAGTAAAGCTGATTTATTCTTATTACTCGACTTTCTAGTTAATAATTAAAAGTAGGCAGGTGAACAGGAGTGTATGATAATGGGTTTTGAAATGTTGGGAAAATAGAGGAATTCTGCAACTTCAGACAGAATTAAAAGGAGTAAAACCAGTCTCAGCATATTTAAGCGCCTTCATTCACCTCGCAATCTGTTGATGCAGATATTAAATTCCGTCGACTTTCATGACGGAATGAGTTCCAATATTCGCAAAACTGCCAATACACCTTTCAAACTTCCCTTCCTGAAATGTTTAGGAAAATGTGCTGATAGCTGATTTTGAAGTTTCGTAAATATAACTTAAGTTAACCTAAGAGTTAAGTTAACCTAAGAGTTAACAGTGATTATACAAGTCCTATTTTTCCTAACGTATTAACATGTGGGAATGCAATATAGTAATACGTTAGTGTATATAGATACACTCACATTTTATAATAGTTGAAACATCATATAACAATATCTTCCTTGATCATATATAAATAAACAAACGAATTAAATGAGCTGTAGCCCAACGCCTGAAATGTTCTCGCAATAGTTTTTGTGTATTATATCGTTCATAAGTAGCGAGAAAAAACTTCGCAAAATAAAGATTGAGATAAATGTGTTTAAAGTTTTCGCTGGCTGTGAAATATATTGCTTATATTACGCTTACGCTTATATTGATGAATAAAGAAATTATTAAAAGTAGCTTAAAAAATTAAAGCATTATTAAAAGTAGTTCTTTGTAAGGACTCCTGAAATCAATCATTTAAAATAATGTCCATACTTCAAAATTCGTATTTTTTTGAGTTATGTCTCTATTGTTTACCGTGTGTTTTGTGTTCGTGTTATTTTTAACACAATATTGAAGAGTTTGCTACAGTTACATCTACTTTTTATAATTTTTCTGAGAGGGCTATGGTAGATGTTGTGAAGTCGAATTATCAGCAGATCCATTTTTGGCTTGAATAATTCTCCTTCCTTGAAAATATGTATACCTCAATTGATTAAGAAGTATAAAGAGGATGATCACGCTCGTTAAATATAGCACAGTCATCGTACATGACTTAAGAGAAGACATGTACTGTTGAAGGATGAAACTTATCACCAATTCGACACACTACTCTGAATGTGATGACAAACAATATTTTAAATGTTTTTTACGAAGCTCTTAAGAGATGGTCAAATTGTCTTCAAAAGTAAGGGAAAACATATTTTTTTGGTCGCAGTAAATTCAACAGAGTATTATTTATTTCAAAAGCGGCATTTAGGAATCATTTAAAAGGTTCTGCAGTCTTTAATAGATTCTATTGCTCTTTCAGTTCCGAATTGGAGATATTCATATAATATTTACAATGGTTTCCTTCTTCCAAAAAAATATTGATTGCTTACGTGAAACTTTCACAATTAACATATAACACATATAAAAATACACAAACAACACATATAAAAATATTCATTCGAGATATTTCAAAATATTTAAACAATGTATTGAGTGGAGTATTTCTGGATTATTTTTCTTCCTTTTCTATTATCTTCCCCCGTACATCACGGTGGGTGTAGAAGAGAACGCTACTCAGAAGCAATGTTGCATTTTAAACTACATTACAATCATAGCACATAAACGGCGAATCTCTGTGTTTAATAAGTGTCTGTTTTTGTTTTACGCTTGTAAACCTTTCGGTGCATATAGTTGTCTCTCCTTCCGGCCGAGACTTTTCTCCAAGTGCACACCAGTGGTACCAGTACAAGTCTCACCATCCGCGTCTCTCCATGTGACTTACGAGTCCATACCGGACATGGTACACGCTGTATTGAATAAGCGTAGTTTCTGAGTCCATCGCATTTAGCACTGTATGAGGAGTGAGTCAGGCCACATCTGTGGGCACGTCTGTGGGCCTGGCCTTATCGTCACACTCACACATCATACCGAGGAAGTGAAAGGGATTAGTGGGAGTATTTAGGTTTAAAGAGGATACATGGTTGTCTAAGAATGTGCATCATCACAGTACATACAACGTCCATGCTTTACGCGAAATTCAAACCCACCGAAATTCGCCGAAATTCGAGCCCAGATGTAATGCGTCCTTAGGTGCAAAAACGTGGGACCCCTTGAACAGACACTTCTAAAGCGCGACTGCGTTGGAGATCCTGACTATTCCGGTGGCTCACCCTACTTTAGTAGTAAATCATAGTATGGGCAAAGGCGCAATTGGAATGAAACGAAATTGGACACTCATATCACCTTTCATTCTGGCTGCATCGCATATTAGATAGATGATCGTTATAAGATTCTCAAATTGTCACGAATGCAACGTTTGATATCATAGCTTAGTCGGTAGATTATCAATCTAGATAACAGAAGTTCTTGGGCTCAGATTCCGGTGAAATTAAATATTTGCACTTCGCAACAATCTATTTCCAGTAATGAAAACTGATTTCAATTCGATTTAATAATTATTTGTTAATAAATAATTATAGCAACGCTGCTACATAATATCTTTCTATATAACAGCTTAAAAATGTCGCATTATAAAAAAATAAAATAACTTTTACTTATTGGAAATTACTAATGATTTCTAAACATAACATAAAATAAAAGGTGAAATATTGGTGATAATTATACTAACCTTGTATACGTCGAAGTTCGTGATAATAGAATCGAAGCAGGTGTATAAATCATTCAGAAGATCCACAACCTGTAAGCACAAACGAAAACAATTCAATTAAATTCTTCCCACATTAATCATTAGGTTTATATTATTATTTCAATAAAATATTTCAATGGAGATATTTTTTATCTTGTGAAATACTTTAAAGAATATGATTTTCATATTTAACCTAATACACGATATTGAAATCTTATACCATTATTTGTACATCGAATTTTAAACCAAATATTGCGTTACAATGAAAATTATTATGGGTCTCTTCTTTCTGGATTCTTACCACTTGGCACATATTGCCACCAAATTGTGTAAAATATTTGTCCAATCCCTTTAATGCAGGGATGATACAGAAATATAGCAAAAAGTGCAACCCAAATAAGCCAGTCATTTCTAGCTTCTGTTTATGGATATAAAATATACGATACGACCCTGTTGTCAAAAATCAGTTTATTGAAAGGCACAAATACTGTGTTTATTCAAGGAACAAAATAAGTATGAAGAGTATAGTAAAGAATTGACACAGAACAGCACATATGATGGAAATATTAAATAAAAAGTTATTTTTTTATTGAAGGAGGGCTTACAAAACAAAGAGAAAAAATAGACTGTAACAATTCTTAATTGTTTAAGCATACTAGTAGTAATAATAATAATAATAATAATAATAATAATAATAATAATAATAATAATAATAATAATAATAAAAATAAGAACTGGACGCAGACAAGGTGACAGTTTGTCTCCATTACTTTTTAATTGCTCACTAGAAAAATAGTCAGAGAATAGAATAGCCCCCAAAAAAGGGAGTAAAGGACTAAAATGTAACTGCCTAGCGTTTGCAAATAATATGGCTCTTATAGCCAAAGACTGATGTGAAGCAGAAAGACAATTCCAAGAATTACAAAAACTTTGAAAACACAAAAATATTAACTAACATTAAAAGCTCATCCAAACGTATAAAAATAAATAAAAAAGGGAAAGAACACTTTAAATATTTAGATCAAAGAATTAGTTGGAATGCATTAGAAAAGAGAGCAATAGAAGTTAGGACACAGAAAATTGCAGTAGCATTTCAGTTAAATAAAGATACATATAACAAAAAATCAGACATGGAATTAAAAAATCAAACATTATAAAACAGTTATAAACCCAGAGGCACAATGTGCAGCTGAAACACTAGCCCTAAATAACGGAGGATTACTAGATTGTTTAGAAAAGAAAGAAACAAATACTAAAGAAAATACTAGGCTTTAAATACAAAAATTATAAATGTAATTACTTCCTAATAAAGATTTGTAAAAAAAATTAAAAAACTCACAGATACAATGGGGAAGATAAAATAAGTTTCTACGGCAATATCTTTAGAATGAATAGTAACAGACGAACTAAACAATTATTTGAGTTATTTTTAAAAAGAATGCAATTGATTTAAATTAACCCAAGAAGACTTGAACGAATTAAAAATTACTGATAAATTAATTGAAAATAAAGAACAATTTAAAAAAATAATTCAAATTGAGCAGCTCAGGTTCCAGAAAAAATGAAATTCAAAAGAGGTGCAAAAGTGTAAGAAGAGAAAAAAGGCAACATCTGCAAGAATGAAGGAAATTAGAAGAAATGTAAAGAAGAGAAAAAAACACAAAAGTAATTGATCTAACGTACTTCAAAGTGGGTGACCCGAGAGAGTAATAATAATTGTTCAGATGTATACGTAAGCTTCCGCGGCTCGAATCCATGAATTCTGGGCTATC